GACTTCAAACCTCATTGCACATGAGCACAAAGGGGCTTTGCCCATAGGACATTGAATGTTACTACATTAGGTAGATACGCTATTGCAGTCTTTTTAAAATATTTGAGATGTGGTCTTATCTAGCCCAGGCTGGCCTTGTCATATAGTGAAGGATGGCCTTGAACTTCTGACCCCCTTCCTCCACACTCCCATGCTGGGATGACAAGCACTTGTCACCACCCTTGGCCTGCTTATTGTGATCTTTTAGCTTTGAGATTAGACTGTCATTCAGTAAGGTTTGATGAAATCAGAGGACAGCCGTAGCCACGTGCACAGCTACATCTCTGTGCTAGCCGTAACCATGTGCACAGCTGCATCTCTGTGCCAGCTGCAGGGCTCTGGGATGGGAAACAGCCTCTGGCTTGCAGGCTGGGGACGCACTGTAGTCGACCAAGGCCCAAGGGTGCAGCCGGGGCATGGGCTGGCAATACACATGGCAGCCCCCTCAGCTCCAATGCCAGGCCTCCAGAGCCAGGAGCAGCTGGCCATGGAGTCTGGGCTTTTCTTCCTCTGGGCCCACGTTAAAAGCCCAGTCTTGGACGCATTCTTCCGTGCCCTCCCGCTTTGTGATGGGGTCCAGAGGCACAGCTGGACCCTACAGTGCTAGGCCGAGCCCCACACTCCCAGTCAGGCAGGAGCAGAGGAGGCAATGGGTCGGTCTCCACTGCCTGCCCGCTTTCTGAGTCCAGTGATTAGATGGTGGCATGCCACCAGAGAAGCCGAGGCCTGCCGTGGCCCACGAAGGCCAGGAAGCGTGACTTGCAGTTCCCGAGAATTTCTAAAGGTGTGCTCAAGCACTCGGGAGCCAGAGCTCCATAGAGAGGCCCCAGAATTCCCAAGAATCATTCCAAGTAGGAAAGTATGGAAGCCTATTTTGAGTTCCAGCACAAAGGGCTTTTATGGCCGTCTATGAAACAAGGAAGAGAAAATCTAGCTTCCTAGTTTCTAAATAAATTTATTCTTTCATAATTTCATACACAAAATACTTGGACCACGTTCATGCTCCCCCCTCCCCTCCCCCATTATCGTCTCTTACCCTCTACTACTGTCACCAAATCCCTTTCCTCCCCACACGTCTCTTCATGCCCACTTCTCTTTTATTTAGTAGGGGGGCTTGAGCGTGGGTAGGGATATCATTTACTTGGCCGAGGCAGTCTGCTACTGGCAATACCACACACTAATGGCGGCGATGCCAGCCACCATTAGCTGCCTGTATCTAGGGAAGATGAGGTCCCAGGAGCCCCCGTCCAAACCTGATGGCATGTTGACAAGCCATCAGGGCGGAGGAACTCATTCATAAGAGACGTACGAGCTCAGATGACCAGTCTCAAAAGTCTGCCATTTCCAGTGTGCCTTTGAGGACCCTGCTTCAGAGCCCTCACGTGCTCCCGTCACGTGTTCTCTGTACACATGTGCCATTTCTAGGTTTGTCTGTGGCAACGCCTGCAAAGCTCAGTGTGGTCTGACTCCACGGAATGAGGCTTGACTTGTTCAGCCGTGTTTCCACACGGGCGTGTGCCTGGTGGGATTTCTTGGAGTCTTTGCTGCCGGGGTTTCAAGGAGGGATTTGTGGGCCGGGCGTTGGTGGCGCACGCCTTTAATCCCAGCACTTGGGAGGCAGAGGCAGGCAGATCTCTGTGAGTTCGAGACCAGCCTGGTCTACAAAGTGAGTTCCAGGACAGCCTCCAAAACAATACAGAGAAACCCTGTCTCAAAAAACCAAAAAAAAAAAAAAAAAGGAGGGATTTGTGGATTCCTGGGAGCAGAATAAAGAGGATGCATTGGCAGTTTGTATTGGACAGAGTTAGCCTGGCCTGGTAGTGATGGGAAAATAATCTGGGCTTTGCCTTGCTTGCATGGTTGTCATTGTAATCCCCGTTCAAGTTCATCCACCCACGGAGGAGGTAGGAGGCGGCGGAGTTTCTCAGATTCTGAGAGGAGAGCCCCAAAGCTGGGGTATTGTCTTGGCCTTCGTCTCCCATGGGCGACGTGAACCTGTGACTTCAGCTCTAGACTGCGTAGATCGTTATCAAGCTGTAGCTTTGCTTGCAGACTAGGGTTTGGACGTTGACCCTGAATGGCAAGGTCCATGATCACAGACCCGAGTTCAGAGCCACTGGGTAAACTAATGTCACTCAGGGCGTGAAGGTGAGTGTTCTGCCTCGTGAGCAGCTGGGCCCTTCTTGAATCCTGGGAATGCTCCTGGAAGAGTCTGGCCTGCCATGCAGCCCACAGCATCCAATCTGAGGTGAGGGTTCTAGGTAGCCTCGCCCTCCACTGGCTGCTTGGGAGTCCCGAAGAGCACCCAGCTCTCACCCAGGTTCCATCCTTCCCTTCCAGCCCCTCCTCGCGCCCCACAGCGTTTTCTCTGTGGGAGAAACCAGACCAGTGTGGATCCCACGAACCCCTGCACTGAAGATGGAGACCCAAGGGACAATGGGCATCAGGAAACCATGGCGCAAATCAGGCTGCTTCTTAGAAAGCCAAACGAATGTAGCGCGGGATCCGGTAACAGTGATGCCTGCTGCAGCAGTTACCCAAATGTGCTAAAGGCCGGGCGTTGGTGGTGCACACCTTTAATCCCAGCACTCGGGAGGGAGAGGCAGGCAGATCTCTGTGAGTTCGAGGCCAGGCTGGTCTACAGAGCGAGTTCCTGGACAGCCTCCAAAACAATACAGAGAAACCCTGTCTCGAAAAAAAAAATGTGCTAAAAATCCTCTGCCCGCGGCGGCGCATCCACACAGCCAGGGAGCATCCAACCCCGAAAAGGACTGAGCTGTCAAGGTAAGAGAAGCCACGAATGAAGAGGCTCCAATGGGCAGAGACACCAATGCTGAAGGAGGCAGAGGGTCTGGCTCTCGCTCTGCAACATTCTAGAAGAGGCAAAACCAGAGCGACCGTGGAGACTGGAGGCTGCTAAGTGCTCCTGTGGTTGGAGAGAAGAGTGCAGCGTGTTGGCACACATGGCGCTTCCAGGGCACCGGCGCTGTTCTGTAGCAGCATAGACAGATAAAGCTCTGTCTAGACTCATGAGAAGTTTATCAGCAAGTGAGAAGCCTGACATGCTGGGGCTTGGTCACGGTGTGACTTTTGGGTTAGGAGTGACACGTGTACCACCATAGGAAAAGATGTTAACATGGAGGGTATGAGGTAGGGGTCTCGTGGAAAGGGCTGTGTTCTCCACAACTCGTCTGAAGACAAAAAGTGTCCTGGGCTGTGTAGCATGTGAGGAGTGGGCGCAGAGTATTCTCTGTGCTACGCTGGATAGGATTTGAAGCTGACCGAGGCACCAGGAATTCCACTCAAATCGAGAGCCAAGCTGCCACCTCCCCTCCTCTCCCAGCCACTAAGGCTTCGAAAAGATGGGAGTGTGAAGCCTATGGGCTGGCTCTCCTAGGGTCAGTTCTAGCAATTTCTACTCATACTTCTCTCTCTCTCCTCTTTTATGAGCTCTGCCCGGCTCACACACATCACTCAATTTCTTGACAATTCATCTTTACTCATGGCTGTGGGGGTGTGCCCTTGAACACGGACGAGGAAATGACTCAACTAGGTGGCAAAGATCTTAGGTGCCTTGGAGAAAAGGTGTTTCTCACGCCCTGTTCTGGGGGCTCCCAGTGCCCAGCAGGGACCCCAGTGTGCTTGGAGTTTGCTGGCTATTCTCCTTGGCTTCTACATGATTGCCCTGCTCTCTGTAGCCCTTTCAGACAGATTATTCGCCCCTTGCTTTTCTTCATAAATCACGGATCCTTTCGTGATGGCCCCATCTCCACGACCCAGTATAACCTTAAGCACTTCGCAAATCTCCCATCTCTAATTCTCATCCTGCTAGGAGGTAAGGCTACAACATACGAGACTTTTGAGGCCCTAGCAGCATCCTTGAGTGAGGACTGAAAAGCCTTTACCTGCCTCACCAACTGCGCAGTTTGTGCTTTTTTTCTTTCTTTTCCTTTCTTGCCCCTTGCTTTCCACACATGGGGGTTGAGATTCCTCAGGGAAATGCTGGCTTGGCATCTTGTTGTTTGATATGGACATGCGCCTTGCCTTTATGAGCGCCTACTGTCCAACCACAAATGGCGTACTAGGATGTCCCTATCATGACAGTGTTCCGAGGACTAAATGCAGTCACAGTGGTCCAGATCCATTCTGCTGGGTGTTTCATGGCTCAGTGACCCACAAAACAATGTCCTATGTACTCAGAACGAACAATTTCACCTGCATTCATGGCGGCACGGCTGTGGCATGGGAAAGTCTCAACTTAGAGTTTATTGGGAGAGAGCAATCCATTAAAGAAGGGGGAAAAATCGATAGCCCAATTAGGGACCATTTCATCCTGTAATGACGCCAGCTGCCCTGACGGACACCGCTACCAAGTGCTGCCTCTAATGGTGTGAGCTGCCTGCCACTAGAGCCAGCCCAGGATGCAGTGCCCTCTCAGGACCCTTTAAATATGGAAAGTGCAGCAGATGCAGGCATATGCATCCTGTCCTAATCAACAACACAACACAGTAACTTAGCGAGAGACAGCCCCCCCCCACCCCCGCCCTCTGCTGAGCTGTGTCAGTAATGGAGTTTGCACATATTTTCTATCTGATCTTGGGCTTTTTGTGTTGTCTCCTCTCTCTAAGAAAGACTAAATCAGCACCAGGGTCAAGCCGCTTTTGCCATGTATCCAGGAAGCTGTAGGGCGCCATGAACATTCCTTGTGAAAACTGTACTAAGAATGACTTAGGTCGGAAGTGCCATTGTGTGTGTGTGTGTGTGTGTGTGTGTGTGTGAAAAAGCCTCAGTTTCCCATATTTGTCTTTGGCTATCACTGTAAACACCTCATGATTGTTTTCTCTTAGACTCATTTAAGAATCAAGTCCTCGATATTTACTTGGCACTAGACTTTATGTGGATAGCTACAGGTTTATTGTTGTTGTTGTAGGGTTTATTTTGTTTGTTTGTTTTTAATGCAGGCTTTGAGCCCAGCAAGATGGATGGCTCTCCTTGCAAAGATGCTTGTCTCCAAGCTTGAGTTCAATCCCTGGAGCCCCACACTGTAGAAGGAGAAAACTGGCCACGACAAATCTCCCTCTGACCTTGATCTGTGTCACACACGCACCTAAACAAATAAATAAATGTAATAAAACATTAACACCTGTTCTCCCACCAGGAAGGCTTTTGACCTTCCCAGGTCATTTCCCCTTGTGTAAAAAAAAAAAATCCAACCTCAAGATGAGCCCTGAGCACACTCGTTTTTAAGGCCTCTTGAAATTTGAAAAGTTATTTTAGTTCTGTTTGGAACAAGAACAAAATGGAAGGGTAGTTTAATCTCTCCTCGGTGGAAATGGTCTCTATTAATTCCAGTGTAATTAAAATGTGTATTTTATGACTGAAAAGGGGGCAGAGAAATGGGATGATGTGGAAATGAATGATCAGCCTGAGGGTCTTGGCTTGGTTCTTCAATGCGGCTTCCCCACAGCCTCCAACCCCCCCCCCGTGAGAGAGCCTCGCCTGCCCTCGCAGGTGGGGCAGCGGGCTCGGTTTGCTCTTTAGCCTTCCCTCTTGTTTTCCAACATCGCTCAGATACCCAGGGACAAGCAGTCATTTATTAAATGGATCCTGGAGGCTGCCCCCTCCTCCCTCCCCCTACACACTCACCAGCTCTTCCTCCTCCTCCTCTCTGCCCTCCAGGGGAAAAAGCACTTAAAAGTCCATCTTTCGGGGGTTCAGCCCCTGTACCCCCATCTCATTTTCTAATGCCCTGGAGGAAGAAGGAGATGCTTGCATAGAATCCCATGGCTGAGATCCCAGTGGCTGTCTCTTCCTTGGCCTTGAGTTGCTGCTCTTTGTCCCGAGGCTCTTGCGGGAGTGGAGAATCCACTCCCTCAACGCTTTTGAGAAAAAGTGTGAGGACCACAGGTGCCCACCTGCCCACTGTGAACCCTGGCCGGCCACATCCTTTTCCTGACCTCCATAGGAGACACCAATGTCTGGGATGGATTTTGAAAAGGAGGGTTACTCGTCAGTTTATCACCATGGCAACCCCATGCCATCAGCGATGGGTGACGGTGTCCAATCAGAAGTGTCTGGGCTGAGGAGGTAGCTTACCTGGTAAATCACTTTTGTTAGAGTGTGAGGACTGGAGTTTGAGCTCCAGAAGTCATGTTTTAAAAAGCTGGGTGTGTGGCAGCGTGTCCTCACAATACCAGAGTCGGAGAGATGGGGACAGGAGACCCGTAGTGATCCAGCCAGCCCTGAGAACTTGAGTTCCTTGCCCATGAGAAACCCTGTCTTAAAACTAGGTGAAGAGGATGTCCTCTAGCATTCACACACCTGCATGCACACACACACACACACACACACATGCACACGCATACCTACACACACATTTGGAGTCTGCTTTTCTCCAGTTAGGTTTTGACTTGCATACCCAATAGTTAGTCATCTTGCTTTTGCTATGTGTTGAGAAAGGACCACCACGCCCATGAAGGCTGGCTAATAATAAGAGTAATTAAATCATAACAGTGATTAGGTCTGTGTCTGACAGGTGGCACATGCTCGTCCGTGCCAGGGGAGCCTCGGTTCTCATGTCAGAACTGCATTGTGGCCAGTGGGGGCATCTGGGTATCTCCTCCCCCCACCCCATGTCACTTACGCATTAACCGTCACCCAGCGCAGGACGCATGGGGTCTGGTTCGTGGAAAAGTGCCTGAATTGCCCTTGGTCTGGGTCATTCTGATTGTGTTCCCGTAGCTACTTTATTGCACTGGGTTAGGCTCCCATTTCTGCAGAGTTTAAAAACAAGAGCCCGGCTGTCTATTGTTCCTCAGTACCGAGGTAGCACAAAACACAATCACTTCCTAGGTCAGTGGCAACACAGTTTCACTTCCGTGCATTGGAGTGCAAACTGCTTGTAGTTTGAACATTGGCCACACCTGAAGTGTCGTGTGTCTGCGTTGCTTGTACTTATGCAATCCCAGTGACTCTTGCATTCTTACTTTTGACTCAAGTTTTAATAATTAGTTTGGCTTGATAACCCCAAATCAATGTATGCATTGTAAATGGGGTGATTTCCTGTCCCACTGTCTCGTGATCTCAGTAAAATCTCCAAGGATTTCCCATTTCTGGACATGCTTGTGACGTTAATCCAGGGGTTTCTTCCATCGTCACGATGAGTGCCAGCTGTGCTATGATGGAGCCGTTCAGAACAGTGGGTTGTTTCCAACATTCTTGGGACCCCGGCCTGGATACGGGACTCACTGCCTTTCTGCAGCGAGACTTTGGTCTCAGAGTGCTTCTTGACATGCGTTTTGTCTCAATTTCCTCTAGCTGGTTTTGCTTTCCTGAATTTGTTTTATCCACAACCCACGGAAAGAATGCTTGACAGTTGGGGAGGTTGAGGGGGACAGATATAGTTGAGATCCCCTTGGAGTTGAGCCAAGAGCATGTTACATTTATTTTTAGGCAGGACGAGAACAAAAGGAAAATGAATACAGATATGAGTAGCCGGCATTATTGATCACTTATCAAAAGTAACTGTGGGTTCAAAGTGTAAGGTGCTGGGATCTGGCTCAGTTGGGACAATGCTTGCCGGGAGTGGATGCCAGGATTCCACCCTATTACCACATACTGGGTGTGGCAGCACATGCTTAGAGTCCCAGACGGGGCATCAGGAGGGCCTCTTCCTACAGAAGCGGTAGGGTCTATTGCCTCGATGCATCCCGCTGGCAATTTAAGCAGTTTCCCTCCATTAGCACAGCATCAGCGTGTGCATCTGTGCTTGGTGATGATCACGGTGATGACTTTGCTTGTTCCCTCAATGTAAATTCCCAGAATTGAGCTGCAAGCGCTAATGCCATGCATATTCATTAGGATGGTAATACCTGTGGCCCAGAAGGGAAATCATTTACAGAGATAGCATAAGGAGCCAGGCAGAGTGTCTCACGCCTGTAACCCAGCATTTATGATATGGGGTCAGGAGGATCAAGGGTTCAAGGCCATCCTCAGCTCCGTAGACCCAGGCCAGCCTGGGCTACATGGTACCCTGTCCTCAAAGCCCCAGACATAACAAATAAAATAAAACTAAGCAGCAACTTACAAGATTTTTGAGGCAGTTTATGAAAATGCTAGCTTCCTGATGTTTTTTGTTGCTGTTGTTGTTGTTAGTTTTTCAATCACCACTGAAATTTACCTTCTGCATCCCGTGAACGCCCCCTCCTGATTGAGAATGCTATTGAGAATGGTGAGTCCTGTCTAGCCGGATCTCTGTTCATTCCAGCATTTCCATTGAGTTTCACTCTTCAGTTTTTGCTTGTTTTGTTTTGTTTCTGGAGACAGGGTTTCTCCCTGTAGCTTTGGAATCCATCCTGGAACTCACTCTGTAGACCAGCCCGGCCTCCAACTCACAGAGATCCCCCTGCCTCTGCCTCCCGAATGCTGGGATTAAAGGTGTGCGCCACCACCGCTTTGTTCTTGATGCCTTTTACCCTCTATCAGTTATCTTGACATAAATCTCAGTCTCCCGATAAGAACTGGGAAAATTAAAAAGGCACAGAACAAAAGCTCCACGGACAGGGTGTTTGCCGCACGCGCATGAAGTTCCCGTTTCTCTGCCCGGCGCTACGTGAAATCAGGCACTGCAGTAGTGTGCATCTATACATTCCCAGGATTCTGGAAGCAGAAGCAGGGTCAGACAGTCAGGGTTATCCTTGGCTATCTGGAGAAGGTCAGCCCGGGCTACTGAGACTCTGGCTCAAAACAAGCTTTTATGATACGTATCCATGACAATACCACATCCTAGGTGCTAAGCTAAGCAGTAGGTTTCATACATGTTTTTATTTCACTTAGGGCCTCATCATCCTTTTATTTGCATCTTCTGTGTATAATTAGTAAGCCCAGAGAGCCTGATGCAATTGGACCAGAGTCTGGTATCAACTCAAGGCTGAACGTGACTCTCAGCCGCCATTGTGACCGACGGCTGTAATCGATCGGACCAGAATCTCATGAGTCTACTGTCAGCTCAAAAATCTCATGAGTCTACTGTCAGCTCAAGAATCTCACGAGTCTACTGTCAGCTCAAGGCTGTACTCAACTCTCATCCGCCACTGTGACTGACGGCTGTCCTATCGTCCACATGCATTGTGCATCAGCTGAGGGCACTGGAGGAAGTGGGTGCAGGAGAGAAAAACATGTTTGTTTCCAGAACTTTCTAATCTGGGGTGGGGTGGGGGGAGGGGAGAAAACAGATGCCTCTATCCGTATGTTATAAAATGCAGAATAAGGTTACCAAAGTGACAGCTGGGTGCACAGGATGGGGAGAAAATGGCCAGCTGTGAGGATCAGGATGGGCTTTGCAAGAAAAGGAAGTGTTTGTCTTCACTTTTAAAGGCCTAGGAACCTGTCCAGGTGGAGATGGACAGTGAGCGTTGACAGCAGAAGGACCATCTTAAAGTCCAGGAAATACAGGAACTTGACAAGGGAGGGTGTGACGGCAATGCTAGGGACTATGGGAAATTGGGTTGTAAAATGCAATTGGAAGCCAGGACGGGCAGATTTTTACTAGATTTAGAAGACCATATTTCAGCTCTGTAATTGTATCATTAGTAGAGATGATTGCTGTGTCAAAAGATAGCCTTAGTATCCCTTAATATGTGGTTAAGTGCAGTAGAGACCAGAGAGAGGAATACAAAAAAAAAAAAAAATCATGGCATCCTGGTTCGTGTCGATTGTCGACGTGACACAGCCTACAGTCACCCGGGAAGAAGGGGCCCCGGTTGGAGAATTGACTTGATGGCACTAGCCTGTGCGCACATCTGTGAGAGATTGTCTTGGCTGGTGATGGGTGTGGCGGGGCCATGCCCACCTTTGGGCAGCACCATATCTAGTCTTGGCTGGTGATGGGTGTGGCGGGGCCATGCCCACTGTGGGCAGCACCATATCTAGTCAGGTGGGCTTGGGCCATATAAGGAGGCTAGCTGACCATGTGCCAGGAGGCAGCGTTCTGCTTTAGCTCTTGCTCGGGTTTCTGCCCCGACTTTCCCTGTGACGACGGGCCGTGGCCTGGAAGTGTAAGCTGAAGTAGATACTTTCCTCCCTGCATTGCTTTCAGTCATGGTGATCATCAGAGCCACACGAAGGAAACTAGAATGTGTGGCAAGAACAAGATGCAAACACTTGGCAGACAAATATTCAGGGTTTAGATGTTTGTAGGGACCAAATGTGGGGAATGTAC